TGGGTGGGGTTAGGGGCGACCGGTCGCCAAAATATTTAACCCATCTTCACTAGTAAATCCCACTACCTGTGATGATGTATAGGACACATGGCGATTAACACTAAGATAATTTATAGGATGGACCAGGGCCAAACCGTTTGATCGGGGGATGGCGCCCTTAGCGTTGCTGACCAATACAACAAATAAGTCTTGACCACTGATGCTGTCTATTATAACACCTGCCGTGTTTCTTGTTGTGTATTATCGCTTGACCATGTCCACGACGGTCACTTACCACTGACCACGAGCACAAAGTACTTTGTTCCATAAGGTTCCGGCTTTAAATGCTGGCGTTCTACAAAAGGTGTCCATATATCATAGGGTGATTAGCGACCTCCAAGGCTTAACATGACCACCCCATTTATTTTATGTCCACTTCTCGGTCAGTATAGCGTCATACCCAATACATCATCAGGGATTAGGTGGTGGCCTTGATACCTGCTCTGGCTTGCTATAAACCCTTTAGCGGTATATATATAGATATGTCTTTGCCTATTTACAAACCTTTAAGAGATGATCTTTTTTGCTAATGTGTTCCTCTCTAAAAGATTTTTTGCATACTAGTAAACAAACTGATGTCCAGTATTTATATCGAGTTTAAATTTCTATTTGCGCCGTGCTAGTTTCCTGTCAATATGTCACGTGTTAGACTCCCTTATCTCCAACACCCACGAAAATCACAACACCGAGAAGATAACACAATACCTATAATTGCATTGTCCGGTAAGTATGGCACAGCAACATCATCACAATAAAAAATGCATATCCAGAAATCGAATCTGTTACACAAAAACATTTTATTGAATTTGCTATATTATGTAGAAATATCTTACTGTGACCCACTTGCCGCGCCATAGATCAAAAGGAAAAAAGGAAAATGATATTTCCATGGCTGACGCAAAACCTGTAACAAGTTTGAAGAGGTAGGGATTTCTTTGGTACGTAAGCAAGTTCAAAACAACATAGAAAACCTATCTACAATGATAAAAGCGCGATGTTTCAATGGTATCAAGGGTCGGGTTCTGGAAGAGCGATCAGGTGTTACGAGTATACATTTATAAATCAACTTAAGGATGACGAGCACGTCCCATTTTGCGAACGTTAATTCAAAGCTATGTACACTTTATGAAAAATTTATGACAACCCGTTTAGCGTTCCTCCTGTAGAATAATTGTTTGGTGAAACATTTCAACTATCGTACATACACAATAATCACCGGAGTGCTGTCTGTCATGCCATTCACGGTAATAGCCGTGTAAACAGTCGGCCTGTCGATGCTAATTTGACGTATTATTTAAAACATGAGTGACAAGTTTTCAGGGCTGACACGAATGCAGACACAGGGGTCCAGCTTATCGTGTGGTATAGACCTAGGAACAACGTAAAGTATTACTTCACCCATAATATTCATTCTTATTGATAACTATCGTGTGTCAGAGCCCTGTGGTCCAGAAGTGTTGAGGAGGAGAGGTTATTGAGTGGCTCCTGGACCAAAGTCCCTGTCAGCATGTCCACTCTCTCAAAGGCTCCGGACACTTGACCATCTGTCTAACAATTTGTGGTCAGTTGATGCTGGTATGTCGTTTGTTTGTTAAGTTTTGCATATATCGATTTTAACACCTGGATGTGAATGGGCCGCTGAGATATTGTTTGCAGAATTAAACGATTAACTTGCAAAAAGCGCACAGGAGCGCATTATACCAAGTGCAGCATTGTGGGATTTAGTTTGTGTTTTCGAGGATCACTAAAAACCCAGACGAGGCTAGTGACTATAGCATCCAACAATGGGTTTGATAAAGAACATATTTATAATCAAACAGAATTATAAATAACAATGGAATCGGGGTATGATTTTACTGTTATGTTATTTTTTATAATACCTCTCCCACAATGTACACGTGAGTGTTGCTACAGGGAAGTATTGTTGTATATAAACATGGTAAGATCATAAGTTTTTAACATTTTAAGTGTTCAGAATTACTATATTGTCCGATATATCACTTGAGCCATCTGTAGACGGTAACAAGATCCTCCGTCATGTTTGATAATCCTTTAGGTACTGATCGTCTGCCATCTTAAAATATCGACAGGTCAACTTTCCGAGCAGGTTTTCATTTAAGTGTAAATATCTCTTTAACATAGATCAGATTTATGCTTTGAATTCTTTATGTTAGCTAATACGCTGTTTTCTACTTCTAGATGCTGATAGCCGGGGAAGTGAATTGTTGATTCTTGGATGTGAAAATCACCGACAGTGACACTTTGGGATTTATTCAACTACTATGGCATTTACCCCGACTACTTACACAAACAATACAACCATGGTTCCTGCCGTCAACTCATCCACGCCTCTCAGTCCAGGACAGATGGAGGTGATTCTCCGGAAATTGAACGACGAGAAGGCTATACAATATTTACCGGTGATCATATACATGATGTTGCTACTTCTAGTTGGGTCTATCGGAAACATCGTCGTGTTTTTCGTCTACTGGCACAAAAAGACAAAAACGTCTTCACATTATTTCATTCTTAACCTCGCTATCCTTGACCTTTTGACTTGTTTAGTTGGCATGCCAACAGAAGTTGCCGATCTCAGATACCCGTATATGTTCTACGCCCCAGCGGCGTGTAAACTTTTACGCTTCAGTGAATCGGTGTCGACAATCGGGTCGTCCATCACCCTCATAGCCGTGGCGTTCGACAGATACTACAGAATATGCAGGCTAGGGAAGCAGATCTCTGTAAAAACAGCTAAAGTCATCTGTGTTATAGCTATAATAATAGGAGTGGCGACATCCTGGCCCGCCTGTATCATTTTCGGCGAGAAGACGGTTGACGTCGGCATTGAGGGTATCGTCGGAGTGGATTGTTCTACTGACGACTCGATGCGTCACACTTTGTATCCAACGCTTTACTACGGGGTTCTCTTCCTTCTCTTTATAGGATGTGTCATTTTCTTCACCGTCATATATTCTAAAATAGGCGCTGTTATATGGACGAGGAAGAAAATCAAAATTGGCGAAAAGGCGCCGGAAATTCCTCAAAACAAAGACCGGACATTTAATGACAGCACGGCATCAGATCGTGTGTCATCGGACCCCATCAGCACAGAAATGTCGTCAGACCAGGAGGCCAACTGGGACGACACGCGCAGGAATTCTACGGCGTCACGGAACGTGTTCAAAAAACGCGGACAAAAACACCAGATCCGCGTAACGAGAACCACCGTCGTTCTTTTCGCCGTCACAGTTGCTTACGTCATCAGCTTCCTTCCATTCCTAATCTTCATGGTCGTCAGAAGTATAAAGAAGGACTTTGAGGCTGGTCTAGATCCAGCCGGCGAGGTGGCGTATAAGTTCGGTTCCAAGTCGTATTTCATCAATAATGCCATAAACCCAGTCATCTACAGCTTTCTCAATGTAAACTTCCGAAAGGACACGAAGGCACTCTTTAAAAGGTGTCTCGCGTGTTGTTGTTGTCGTAACAGAGACGTGTGAAAAATATTTTCTTATTTATTAATTTAAATCCATTATCTTACAATTGTCTGACGGTTGACTCAAACTCCGTATATGCAGACGAATGTGTTCGAATCCTGGATTCTATAGAATTTCAACGACGACAGTGGGGCACGTTTTTAAATGTCCTCTCTTTGACATCTTTCACTGAAAGAGGCTGTTTGGTGCTTAAACCTGGTGCTGGTACATCACGTGGTAGAGACACCAATACGCATGTGCATTCGCATTCACATTCAGTTAATTGAGTAAAAAGTGCTGGACGCTTGTACTCGATTAAATATTAATACTGTCATCGATCATTTTATTATCATTGTCATCACCATTAGGCTATCATCGTCGTCATCGCACATAATGTCGTTGTCATTTACATCACCATAGTCATTGTTAGTATTACTCATAGTTACCATTGTCATTATTCATCCTATTTTTAAGAAATGACGCGGTTTTCTACCAATCCTGAATTGTAAAAAATGAACTGAGTTTTTCTCGTTAGTACAACGCTGATACACGCCTTCCCTGTGTGGACCTGTGATTCTGTGTCACTATAACAGATGACGTGTTTGGTGCTGGGTGTATATCAGAAGTCCTACTGTACAAACAATGATAGTCGGCCGGTATATAGCCAATGTTTTTAACATGTCTAGACAATTTCCTGCGAGATATTCTGGACAATTATAAGCTTATATTGGCAGTATTATTGATTTTCGCAATAGTTGTTAGTGATCTATTCGTATTTCGAGAAATAGCATGCAAAACGAAATCCAAGTGATTTTAAATTATTTTAAAGACATGTTACCGTCAATATATCAATGTAAGAGAATTACTGTTTTGTAAAAGAACTATCATTTTCGAGACGTGATATTTCCGAAATACTTGAGAATTCGTCACATGATCTAAGCTGAATGTAGGCATATGTTAAGAGTTTACAGGGACCAGTGTTTTCTTGATTTTACTTCGATAATATTTTGGAACGATTGTTGTATTTTTGTACTGTCTGGTTTTTTTAAAAGAATTTTCCCATTCAGTGGACTAATTTGTTACTATTTGTCGTAATTTGCTAAATAGAATCTATCACGTTATGATCGTTATCTGTACCCTACGTAGTTTTATATATTTATGTATTAATGTATTTCGTCAGCAAGTGTTTTTTCTATAGATATAAGGAATGCAATGTGTCCCGTTGATATTGACGTACCCTTTCCTGGCTGGGTTGCTTGCTGACGCTCTTTCACGTTGACAAAACTATTGCGTATGTTATCGAGCTCCAACCTTGATGCTTTTCATTTGTAACAAGGTATCCCTTGGAAAACGACTTCATCAAGTAGAGAGAGGAATAGTCAATGGTTGTTATTGTACCCGACACACGAGAATTTAATATTCATCGTAAAATACTCCCTGTCCTGACATTTAGGACAAAACATTGATGTCCCAGTAGTTATACATATTTATAAGACAAAATGCCAGTTACATGTAACAAATGGTTCATAGGATAATGTACTGAAAAAAACAGTGAGTAACTCAGCCATTCGGGTTCGAATACATTTTTCAACTAGAAGGATTATTGTCCTTTGCTACCTTTTGTTTCTTCTTCTTACATGTTTCATTAAAATAATTCCTAAATCAATTCTGTATGTGTTTTCATTTGTTTATTCTGTATGTGTTTTCATTTGATTATATTTGCCAATGGTTGATTTTAATACAGCACCGGAAGCCATAGGATTTCCGGAAGAAAAATACTTTAAATGACAAGTGCTTTTTCATTATAAGTCAGATTCGAAAAGAAAACCCAGTCTAGTTGACAGGATCATGGTACTATGGGGAAGTAAGTGTGCATAGTAAATATCTTATATGAACTCAATATATGCATTTATTCAATGTATTCGTCGAAGGAGAGCAGTGTGATACTCGGCGGAAGTTTAAATTTAGATATTAATGTTAAGGAACGAATTAATAAATGGCGATAGTGTAGATAAAAGGGAAAAGATCAAGTCACGTGACTGTAACTGCAATGGAAGCAGAAAGATTCGAGAATTAATTTAAACGTCAAATATTTAAAACGATAAACGTTATAACTGATGTAGTTTTCTTGTGACAAACACCAGATATATCAACTATAACCAAACATTTATAGTTAAGAAAAAACAAACACAGATCATAGATAGCAAATATGCCAAAGTTCAAAGGACATCGTGACAGAAATTCTTCGGAAGTAATTGCTGGTTTCTTCAGTGGTCCCTAAAACGGTACATTTCTCGCTGATAAATGATAACAAATTCGCAGTGCACCTGTAAGTCGCCACCTTCGATCATGAAATAGGTTTCAATAAATAAATTTCTGCCGAGTGTGACTCTTCGTTATCAAAGATTGGTGAATGAAGCATGACATGCGATACGCCATGGAATACATAATAAGAACACCTAGCTTTGAGGTTGACAGTGCACATTTTTGAATACTGAAAACACCGGTAAGGGGAGCCGTCCAAAATAAGTTTAACCACTGTCCTCTACTCCTAGCTGCGGATGGCATAGCCCATTGGTCCATTATTCAAACATGTGTAAACAATAAGCTGAGCTACGGTCAATGAGCCTAGTTGTTGCTTGTGTCAGTAATATAATTATGAAATATAAACACAGGCCAATGAACTTAGTTGTTGATTGCCAGTCGTAAATATAATACAGTATATGTAAGGGCCAATGATTCGCCACTACCTTGGTGTTTTCTGGTCAGTGTAACCAATTACAAGCTGGATACATGTATCACAGTAATTAAGATACACTTAAAGTATCGCTCTGTAATATAGAACTGTAATGAAACAATTTGTGGCACTGCTATCGGATATTGGTAATTTGTGTTTTTGGAAATGAAAGCAAAACTTTGTGTCTCTTTGTGAAAAACCCCATACTCTGTCATTTTAAAATCACTTTTGAAAATCGTACATAACTTGTCATATACGCTTATCAAAATAAATACGACTGGATGCTGGACAAAGTTGGACACACTTTATCATTCACAACAAAACCCTTGTTCTACATTTAATTAGGTTCGGGAATGAGTCAACAAGTCCGTCGCCTTAAAATCCTATAATATGATTAATGGTCCATATCTGTACACACACAGCAGACATCAGATAGATGTGACGGGGTTCTGCCGCATATCACTCATATATAGAGATTCCATTAGGGTAAAAAGCTGACGGCAAACAAAGCAGTAACGTAGAGCACTACATATGATCCATGGAGCGTCGTGTGAATTATACAATTACGGTATCGAACACTCAATTAACTCCGCGCCGTTCTCGATACAACTCGACGGCCATGACAGCAAGCGACCATCCACTCTCATGATAACAAATAGCGCACGTCTGATAGGGTGAAAGAGCAAACGGTTACCAAGGAGACGGCAAACAATGTCTGGCCACATAGAGATTTTAATGGAATATGTGCTCAGTGTAATGGAATTAAATTATCTTGATTCCTCCAAGTGGAATGGATGTTGTGTTTTGAATTTCCACTGTATACGTCGGACAAGGATGTCAAAGGTCAATATCGAACGCATTATTTATTTAAAGCTCCTAATGACTTAGGGCAATTTACAAATCGATGACCAAAGATGACTTTGGGATGCGTCATCGTTTAACTTTTGATTTATACTCCGAAACGAAACCTTGCGCAGTTAAAATATTGGACCCATGGGTCTACCAATAGGGGTCGCATACATCAGTGACATGCGCATCGCAGCACCATATGGTGTGTCATCTCCAAGATGAAAATTCTCACACGAGCGAACCCCGTCATCACGTGTTCAACGAATCTTTAACGAGACATCCGGGTTATAATTAAATTCCGGAATACCGTAGGTGCCGATTTTTAGCGGTATAGACGACCGACCCGTATTTATGGTCATTGCCGAAAAAAAATCCATTCCGAACTTTTCACGTTGAAACGCTATTGGAGATTTCCGGGAGTAGATGGGAGTGGACGGGAGAGAGAGAAACGGACGACACTTTGACAGACACTGTAATTGTTCCTACCACACCCCTCCTGACAGCCATTTTATGCACGCAAAGGAGCAGTAACTGGCGAAATGGTGAATATAAAAACTTCCTTAAGACGGAAAGCATGCGAACTGTGATGGCATAATACCAACTTTAATGGATTTAAGTGCGAGAAAGTCGCGCGGAAAAAAAATGGGACGACAGCAAAAAAGGAAATGTTTCAACTGTTATTGCAGCTGCTACGATGGTCATGAAGTTTGTAAAGAACTACTCAATGGTGTCATTAGCGCTCGTCTTGAACGCTTCGGGACATGTTTTTCCGACTTCAAAGAATACAGTAAAGAACCTTTCTGCACCTTTTCTCGATTGAAAAGCTTCCTGATTTAAATTATACTCTACAAAGACCCCTTCTGAGCTTTTGAACAGATAGTGTAAGACAATCCAAACTGTTTGTTTGTGGTTACAGTACAGACGTGTTAACGCCAGATAATAAGAGGTATACCTGTAGGGGTGGTGGATAGACTGCAATTAGGTTTAAATCTTCTGAAATACAGGTATTGCTTAAATATTTTTCGAAAACTTCCAAAACAATAAGGTACATGTAATAATAACCAATAATTTTAACATCAGCTCATTCTGGCTTGAGTAAATGTAATGTAAGTCGTAGATGCATCACTGCATCTACTGAACTTTATCTAAATCTGTCTTGGTATACTTTTTTTCAGAAATTTTGATATAGCTTCGACACTTTTCTATGAGGAAATTGGTCTTAGAGTCTGTATAACAGTAACTTATTTTCGCGGTACTCGTGGTTGTCGTGGAACCGCGACAATTTTAATTACTCAGGAACAGATACATTGTACTAGGAGATGGCGAACGGTATATGACAGTACATTCAGCATGCATGGCTGATTCATGTTATACTACAGAAGCCATAGAGATATATGGAATATGTTATATTATAATGACGTCTTATAATGTCGTAATTAAGACAAAGTTATCCCGTGATAATGACAGAGTGAGGATCTAGTAGGTCGACATGATTTCCATTAGAATTCAATAAACATGAAATAAAGATAGACACTAGAGTAGGATGGCTGATTTGTGCCTTTTCGTTGTTAAATCTTTTTGTCATGAACCAATTTTGTTGATGAGCGTTTTGTTTTGGTTTCGTTTAATGTGCTTGCGTATATGTGTGCTGGAGAAAAGGTATGTTGATGTACTTGCCTCCTTGCCATTGCGCGACTCTGATGCCGACTTACGGATAAACCAGGTGTTGCGGTACCCCTACATGCTGAACGTTAAGTAGGGAAGAACAACTACAATTGTTAAGACATTTTGTGTGTCCCGGCTTGGGGACAGAACCCATTGCCTACCCAACTTGGGCGAACGCTTAACGCTAATGCCATAAGTAAGATATTTCCAAAGAAAGCGCTGGGAAATGAAAAAGGTTTCCAGGAAGTAGAGAGAAATTATGAAGATCCCAAATATTGTAATGGTGGCAGCAGATCAATTGTGGTCTATTCAATGACCCCATAGCAGAAGACACAGATGCGTGTACAGTCTTCGTTTTATTTCATACACATGGCTGATTGCGAACGTATGTGTGAAGGAAGACCAGCGTAAAATATACAATAGCTAGCGCGTGTGCTTTTGGGTATGTATTGCAATTAAACGGTAAACGTTAAGTTTCATTTTCAGACAAAATGTTACAAACTAATAAGCAAACAAGATATCGGCCTTGCACGAGCTGTCGCGAGGGCGATTAAGTGGCATTAACAAGAACAGTGTAGTTAAAAAGTATTTAAAGAAAGCAAGATCGGCAACCCTTTGCAAGAAGAGTAGTCCGATTTTAATATGGACACACCACAACACATCATATTAGTCATAAACTTGTCTATTGACGAACAATGGAGTTGAAAATCCATTAAAATGGTAAAAAAATGTCGAAACTAAGTAGCAACTACACCAGACTAGTGTTAAGATCTAACGAGATCGTAATTACTTGGTACTAAATCGTTATTACATTTATGTTCAAAATAACAAATTCGTAATTGCAACATAAAAAAACATTCACGTGGCGCTATTCCATATTACAGAGTAAACTTAGTATGATGTTATTGACACTCTCACATAAACTGGAACCTTTATAATCTGGACGATTTTCTTTTCAGTGCAATCAAGAAGAACTTTACAGACCGGACACGTTTTCCTCAGGCAATCGGTCTTAGTTATACGTTGTCTTCAATACAAACAAGCTGAACCTTTATAAACTGGGAATCTTTTCCTCATGCAAACAGTCTTTGTATGTGATTTCTTTAAAACAACAAAACAAAGTAGGCAATTCACTGTCCCTTACTTTCTGACAAACTTTGGTGTAAAAAAGGAATTTTCCACAAGAGTCCTGGGCCCGTATTTATGAAACCGTTATCATGCTCAAGTATGGATTTTGTGCCCAAACCAACTTTCAAACGGTCAAAAAGTCAAATGCAAACATTGAAAACAGTGTTGGGCTTTAAGTCTCTTCGATTTTTTTACCAAATCATTGACAAAATAAGATTCCATTATTAAGTTATAAACAGAACAAGAAATTAGGCTTGAGCATGAGGACGGTTTGGTGAATA